GCAGTTGCTGCTGCTGCTGTTGCTGGTGGTTCTTGTATTGCTGTATATGCTGCTGCTGCTGCTGTTGCTGCTGTTGTCGCTGCTGTTGTTGCAGCAGCAGCAGCAGCAGCAGCAGCAGCAAGAAAAAGCAATAAAATACTTTTTTTTTATTTATTTAAATTAAGAGCTGTCCGTACACCTGAAAGGCAATCAATGCCCAATAACTTGGGGTGTATAGGCAGCTAGGGTACTCCATATGCTGCCCCTGTGTAGCTACCTAGCTAGCTAGCTAGCTAGGTAGCTAGCTAGCTAGCTAGCTAGCTATATAGCTAGCCAACCAGCTACGTAGGTAGCTGGTTTGCTAGCTAACTAACCAGCTAGGTAGCTAACCAGCTAGCTAGCTATCTAGCTATCTAGCTAGCTAGCTAGCTAGCTAACTAATTAGTTAGCTATCTAGCTACCTAGCTATCTAGGTAGCTAGCTAGCTAGCTAGCTGCAGCTGCTACTGCTTAATTTACGAGTGTGTGTCTGCGCCACGGCGTTTGTTGCCGCGGCCACGTCGTCTGCTGCCTCCAACCTTCTGGCCTGCTGCTGCTGCTGCTGCTGCTGCTGCTGTTGGTGCTGCTGCTGTTGCTGTTGGTGCTGCTGCTGTTGCTGTTGTTGTTGTGTCCTTTGCTGCTGCAGCTACTGGTGCCGCGCTTCCGCGGCCTTGAGGATTCCCTTCTGAAGGATTTTGCTGCCCACTTGCTGCAACCTGCTGCTGCTGCTGCTGCTGCTGCTGCTGCTGCTGCTGGTGTTGCTTTTGCTGCTGGTGTTGCTTCTGCTGCTGGTGGTGTTTTCTTTTATGATGCTGCTGCCCCTGGTGATGTTCTTGGGGCTGCTGCTTCTGCTGATGCGGTTGCTGCTCTTTCTCTTGCTGCTGCTGCTGCTGCTGCTGCTGCTGCTGCTGCTGGGTAGCTGATTCTTTTGTACGGGTTTCATCTGCTGTATCTGCTGCTGGTGCTGCCCCTGCGTCTGCTGCTGCTTCTGCTGCTGCTGCTTCTGTTGCATGCGGCTGCTCTGCTGCTGCAGTAACCTGAGCAGCAGTAACAAAGCCTGGCTCTGCTGCTGCTTCTGCTGATGCTTCTGTTGCTTCTGCTGCTGTTGCTGCTGCTGCTGGTGGTGGTGGTAATGTTGCTGCTGCTACCAACGTTGGTAAGCTTTCCTCTACTGCTTTATCTCTTGCTGCTGCTGCTGCTGCTGCTGCTGTTGCTGTTGCTGTTGCTGCTGTAGTTGCTGCTGCTGCTGTTGCTGGTCGTCTCCTCTGCAGCAAAGGCAGCAAATGCTGCTGTCGTGTTGCAGTGGTCTTTTTTTCGCGTTCTTTTTGCTGCTGCTGCTGTTTCTGCTGCTGCTGCTGCTGCTGCTGCTGTTGATGTTTATCCTGCTGCATTTGCTGCTGCAGCAGCAATGTTTGCTGCGCTAGTGTATCTGCACCAGGGGCAGTAGCTGAGCTAAGATTAGATATAAGACTGTCTCCTCTGCTGCTGTCTCTTTCCCCCTCAGAGACACCACTAACAGAAGCAAGGCTGCTTCTTGTCTCCCATGGCAGCACAGGCAGCAGCAAATCATCTGCTGCTCCTCTTGCTGCTCCTGCTGCTACTCGTCCTACTGCTGCAGCAGGAGCAGCAGAAGAAGAGGAGGAGGAAGAAGGGAGGGGGAGAGAAAGAACGGGTAAGGGATCTTCTTTGCCAGAAGAGAGACGCTGAGATGGTCGATGCTGCTGCGGACGCTGCTGCTGCTGCTGCTGCTGCTGCTGTTGCTGCTGTTGCTGCTGCTGCTGTTGTCTGGTTAGAGGCAGATCCTGCTGTATGGACATGCGGCGTCCTGTTGTTGTCTTTGCTGCAGCAGGGGGACCCCTGCTGCAGCACATCCTTTGTTGTTGCTGCTCCTGCGGTTCCTGCTGCTGCTGCTGTTGCTGCTGCTGCTGCTGCTGCGGGTCCACCTGCTGCTGTTGCTGGTGCTGCTGTTGCTGCTGCTGCTGTTGCTGCTGCTGCTGCTGCTGTTTGCTGTTGTTGTTATTGGTAAGAGGGAGGGCAGGAGAAGAAAGAGATCTATTGAGGGAAGAACGACGATTATTTATTAATTGTAATTTTCTTCTTATTTCCTTAACTATACACATAATAACATATAATAATAATAATAATAATAATATATATTATTATATATTATGCAGCAGCAGCAGCAGCAGCAGCAGCAGCAGCAGCAGCAAGAGCAGCAGCAACAGCAGAAGCAGGAACAAGAGAGGTAACACAAGAGATAAAAGAAAAGAGAGAGAAGAAAGGAGACAGGAAAGAGACAAAAGAGGCAAAAAGAGGAAAAGAGACAAAAAAGGAGACAAAAAAAAGGAGACAAAAAAAAGGAGACAAAAGGGAGGAACAAAAGAGACAAAAGGAGACAAAAAAAGGAGACAAAAAAAGGAGACAAAAAAAAAAAGAAAAAAAAAAGGAGACAAAAAAAAAAGGAGACAATTAATTGGCATACA